CACGCACACATACATACATACACGTACACACACACTCACACAACACAGATATGGCACGCACACACACACACACACACACACACTTGCATAAATATGGCAGAAATTGGCATACATGCAAATACATACACGCACACACACAGATGTAGCACACACACACACACAGACACACACATTATGTATACAAGAACAACTACAGAATCCTCTCAAAGCTAATGAGGAGTCGTCACGAACAAATGTGAGTTTCTCTTGTGAATAATGTGAGCAAACACACGCTGGATCTTCTCTGTGGGAATAGTAAAAATGTTTTGTTCTGTGTTTATGTGTTATGTCTGTGTGTGTGTGTGTGTGTGTGTTTGTAGATGAGGCAGGAGGCTGGTCGGCTCTCCCCAGTCGGAGCCTCTCAGATTGGGTGTCAGATGCTGGAGACAGCTGCACTCATCACGCCTTTTATGAATACATTACCTTTTATGTTGATCCAAACACTAATTTATCTTTCTCGGCAAAAACCAAACAGGACGCCAGACCGGGTGCAGATCACTCACGACAGCCAAGAAAAAAGATACACAAAAACAAAGAGATATAGATGTTTTAACACGCTGCAGCTCGAGTCTTGACTAGAAGAACTCCTCTCACATTTGTCTCATAAACCGGGTTCTTGCGGCGCAGAGAATAGACTTTACAGCAGCTCTGCAACGACAAATGTACAAAGCTACACCTTAAAAAAAGAATGCAAACAAAACGAATTCTTACTCTGACATTGTTCAACTACTGTTTCTGTTTAGTTATGAATATGACTTCTTTTGACTCAATATCATGATTTTTTATTAATTCATTCAATAGTGTTGAAGTATCACCAGGAGGGCCTAACCCGATTACACCCACACTCGACTGATACTCTACTACACTCATACTATTACAGCTAAATGGAAAAAAATGGCTGACTTTATTATGTGTATTTGTTTTATATTGTTGAATGGGTGTTTGTTTATCCTCAGTTCTGCATCTATTTCATGGATCTATAATAATAACTGGATAGGGTGTTACTAGCTTACAGCTGTCCCATCCATGGGCACAGGGGGCGCTGTGGTACTGCAGACTAAATTCACGAGGGCTACCCAGAAAAAAGTCCCATAGAACTCAATGTAAATTAAAACAGCTCGACCTCAGCTGACAGAATGAATGAATGGTTTATTTGGTTGATTTAAATCAATACAAATTTACAAACAATAATGTTAACAACAAACAACAAATGTCAGCCAAAAAAGGAATAGGCTGAAGCAATGCTTATTTATGCCCATCCTTTAAACCACGTAACAGCTACTGAATCATCTAAGCTAAATTAAATACATTATCAGATAATATTTCTAATAAACATTTTTGTTACTTACAAACTGAAAACCCCATTTTATACATCTTTTAAATAATCACTTATGATTTTTTGCTTAATCATTATTCTAAATTCAGCTAACAAAATGCAAAGTTTAAATTGATCATTTAGTCCATTCCAAAGCTTAACACCCTGAACTGAAACACATCTGGACTTCACATTGGTGCTAACTTTAACTATTTCAAAAATAAATAAACCTCTGAGGTGGTAACAACTTTCTCTTAATTTAAAGAAACTCCTAATGGAATTGGAAATGTTATTGTTTTTAACCCTATGCACAATTTCTAACACTTTGACATTGATAGCGTCCATTAATTTAAAAGTTTTATATTTGATAAATAAATTATTCGTTGGTTCATAATAACCAACCTTATCAACAATCCTTATAGCCTTTTTTTGCAATTTAAATAAAGAATCTATATATATTTTTCCAGCATTCCCCCATATCTCCGCACAATATGACAGATTAGACAGAACTACAGAACTATAGATAAAAAATAATCCCCTTTTATTCAATAAGTTCCTTGTTTTAAATAATATTGCAATTGACCTTGTTACTTTATGTTTAACATATTCAATGTGCTGTTTCCAACAAAGTTTATGATCTATGATTACTCCAAGAAATTTAGATTCAAAAACTCTTTCGATTTCGACTCCATTTAGATGTAATTTCACACTATCAATTTTTTTGTTCCCAGCAAATATCATAAATTTTGTTTTGTTTTCATTCAAAGAAAGCTTGTTATAATAACCAATTTTTGATCAAGACAAATTCCGTTTCTCCTATTTGCAATAATTCATTCAGTTTTTTACCACTACAAACGAAGTTTGTATCATCCGCGAACATGATGAATTTTAACATAGAAGATACTGAAAAGATATCATTTACATATAGTGTAAATAATTTTGGACAGAACCCTGGGGTACTCCACACACAACTTTTTCTAACTGTGAATCCACGTCATCAATTTGTACATATTGAAATCTGTTATTTAGGTAGCTTTGTAACCATTGATTTATTTTACCACGAAGACCATAATATTCACACTTTTTCAACAAATATGCATGATCAATCGTATCAAAGGCTTTACTCAGATCAAAAAATACACCCACTGTATAAAGCTTTTGATCAACAGCAGTCGCAACATGTTCTACAAATTCCTTCACTGCGAGGGATGTTGAACGATTGCTTCTAAAGCCATATTGATGGTCATTCAATAAATCATGTTTGTCAATAAAAGCATCAAGTCTAATTTCAAACAATTTCTCTAATATTTTTGAAAACTGTGGCAACAGTGAGATTGGTCTATAATTTGATACAAGTTTTGTATTTCTGCAATAAATCATCATAATAATCTTTTTTGCTTCTTCTTATTATAGCTGTCAATTTGTTTTTATATTCTTTATACAGTTTCTCTTTTTCTTTTGTAGAATTCTTTATGAACTCTATGTATAACTTTTTTTTCTTTTTACAAGCCTTCTCCAAACTTTTTGACATCCATGGCTTAAATCCTTTTTTACATTTTTGTTTAAGTTGTTTTGGAGGGCAATGCTTATTATAAATATTAAGACATATTTCTAAAAATCTATTATAGGAGTCATTAATATTTCCAATATAGATTTCTTGCCAATTATAATTAAAGAGATCAAATTTCAAGGCTTTAATTGCGGCAGGTCTTTTGTCCCTGTGAATAGTGTCAAACAAATACCTTGGTGTTTTAGTTTGTGAAATATCCACCACAGTAAAAACAGGCAAGTCAGTAATATCTGTTAACATAAGTCCACTTTTTGTCTTTAAACCAATTTCATTTACAAATATATTATCAATCAATGTACAACTATCTTTTGTTATCCTGCTTGGCTTTATTATTAGTGGATAGAAACTCAAACTAAACATTGTATTAATACATTCAGTAGTTTTTGTATGCTCATTAGATTTTAACAAATCAATATTAAAGTCACCACAAATCAAAGTCAATTTGTTACCCTTTTGCTCAAACAACTCAAAAATCCTTTTGTTAAACTGGTCTATACAAGAACCGGGAGATCAATAAATACAAGTTATCATTATACTTTTTGTTGTTCCGACTTTAATTTCAATAGTTAAGCACTCCATCAGGTTCTCAATAGAAAGAGTCGTATTTTCGATTACCCTACATTCTAAGCCTGTTCTGACCAAAAAAGCAACCCCACCGCCTTGTTTGCACATTCTGTTTTGTGAGAACATCTCCGTCCTTTAACCAAGTCTCTGAGATCGCAACAACAGAGAGCCTACAGCTTTCATAAAGATCAGATTTTGTGGGGATTTTAGTGGCCCTTGTCATCCTGAACTTTTTTCTTCTTAAATCCTTCGGTTTTCTTTAAATCCACACTTTACTGCCTCAAACTCTGCTCCTTGCCTTCCCACTCTGGCTCCGCTCTGCTGCTGCTCTGATGAACAGCTCTGATTGGTGCCCCCCTGTGCGCATGCATGAAAGCCACTCATGCACGTTTGGCGCAACGCATCATGGGAGATAATCCACTGCGCAGAACCGGGAGGACCAGACAATGCCCAAATATAGGCAAGTTCAGCTAATCTCCACAGCCTCAGTCCTGGATCTACAGACTCAGTCCTGGATCTACAGCCTCAGTCCTCGATCTACAGCCTCAGTCCATTAGAGACTTATGAACGCCTTCTGTGCCCATACACTGTAAATAAACGTAGTCATGCCTATCTCTGCCGCTGAAACTAATGTGCAACCGCTCTATGGGCAGTTTCAAAATGGCCGCGGGGGGTTGAAATTGTGAAAAAACAAATTTGCGCATGTGTCAGCCCGCACAAGCCCCATTCATTTGACGAGTGCCTTCTGAAGTCCACAGCGGCTAAACTAGACCGGTCCAAAGAAATACTGTATACTGTCCTCAGCATTGACACACAGCAGCCGACTTTTGGACCATCCTGTAAAGGCGTTTTTCGAGAAGTAAGAAGATGCTATACATTAGCATTGAATCATTCCTATTCCGGGTCCACCCCCATCGGCCCGGGGTGGTATTTCAAGCATGTCAGTGTCATTTTGGACGTTTTTGAGCCGGGACCTGCCCCCACTGGTTTGTTCTCTGTATCTCCTTTATACCTCAGTCTCTGTCTTTTTTTACTCAGCTCTAACTGCATTGACTTCTCCAATTTTCCACATTTTATTCCCCCATACTTGGGCAGATGTTTTTCTTCCTGCCTGTGTGAAAAAAAGCCTATGAACTATCAAAGTGTCTTATTTGCCTCCATGAAACACAACATCAAAGCAAACTCGCTGGGTTTTTTTTGCCTCTGGAGCCTCTTGATTTTTACTCACCTCCCGAGTCGCTAATGATTCCGAAATATTCCTGCCAACAACACAAAAAACCCAGGAGCTTCGCAGACATGTTTTGGACCGTGATTGACGTCCGACGCATGTGTTTTTATATATATGTATATTTATAATCGTGTGATGTTGGTCCAGACACACACTATAGCCCCGGCTGATGCGGCAATCTGGTGGTATGCGTTGCGCCTCCTGCCAAACGCCACCTGGCTGAAAAAAAAATAAAAAAATAAAAAGAGAGTCTCCGTCAATCATTGGGGCGCTGGGTGAGTGGGATGAGTGAGAGGAATGTGGTGGCAGACATGTTGGTTCGAAGACCTGTCCAAGAGCTGACACCTGCTCACTGCTCAGCCCGAAGACTGGAGCCGCAGGGAGGGTGCAGGGTGCAGGGGGGAGAAGAGGGAGACCTGAGGGGGAGACGGGGGAGACAGTACTCTGCAGTGCGCATATGTACAGAGAGTTGAAGCAAAGGGTGTTGTGGTTAACACTAGAACTCCAGGAGCAATTTGACGGCTTTTGGTTTTGGAAGTGTAAATGATCAGATTTTGTATGTTTTTGGTTTTTGTAACTGTGTGAGTTTTTCTGTGTCTTTATGTAGTTTATTTCTATATGATTATGTTTATGAAATTATCTCAACTTAGTCCTAAACTGTTCCTAGACGTGTCCTGGACTGGTCCTGGACTGGTCCTAGACTGGTCCTAGACTTGTCCTAAACTCGTTCTTGACTTATCCTAGACTGGTCCTATAGCCTTGTCCTAGACTGGTCCTGGACGGGTCTAGACTGGTCCTATAGCCTTGTCCTGAACCGGTCCTTGGCTGGTTCTAGACTGATCCTAGACTGGTCCTAAACTGGTTCTAAACTTGCACTAGACTGGTTTTAGATTTCTCCTAGACTGGTCCTGAACTGGTTGTAGACTTGCACTAGACTGGTTTTAGACTTGTCCTAGACTGGTCCTAGACTGGTCCCTGCCCTGCACAGCTTCAGAAGTCTAACAGGATCTTACAAGTAAAGCCACTAATAACCACAGTCCATTAAAAACAGCTTCAGTTGGAAACACAGCTAAATACAACTGTTTTTAATCAATCATTCAACAATTATTTGTAGAGCACCACCACAAGGCAACACCAAACGCCTCACCACCCATCACACATCAGCCATAAATCATAAACATCTACATAAACATACAAAATACTATTGAAGTTATGACTCAAAACACACAATAAGATCACAAGAAGTAAAACCTTAAAATATTCAAATCTCACTTGGGATTCAAATCATAAACAGCCACAGTGCATTAAAAACAGGATTTTCATTGTAGTTTTTAGATTGTAGGGAATGGATCGTGTGTGTAAAAATGAAAAGTGTCTTTGTGTGTGTGAAAAGTGCTGCATGGATTATGTTTACAGACTGAAGTCAGAATCACAGGGGCCTCCTCCTGCACCTCACTGCAAAAAATGGTAAAATATGTGGTAATAATTGCATGAATCACAGGGTTTTTTCTTTTAAAATGAGCCCATTCTGACTGATTCAAACACGATTCACCAATGGGACCAAACTATTGAGTGTTATTTCAAAAAGCGTTACGTTCTCACTCCAAGAGAGACATTTCATTTTGCTTTGTCCCGCATTGACAAATTGTGTTTTAAGGCTCAGCCAGAGTGTGCTCAAATTACAATATATTTGACTGATTTTGACCAACGTTTTTCTAATTTTACACACTTTTTTGCAGCTCACCTCACAATTTGGACAGCATGATAATAGAAGAAAAAAGGTGTCATTTCTATAACTGCTGCATAACTGCTATATCCTCATGAGAAATATTATCTACTTTTAAAATAGGATAAGCGGGGACATGTTTAATCAAGTTCACGGTTTGTTTTTGTGGAAGATCAAAACCCACAAATAAGTGAAAATAATGAATTATAGTGAAGAAGCCTAATTGCTCAGTGGTGTGTGTGCGCAGCCTGTGTGTGTGTGTGTGTGTGTGTGCGGAGTGTGTGTGGAGTGTGTGTGTGTGTGGAGTGTGTGTGTGCGGAGAGCGGGCCACAGTTGTCAGCACTTCATTTTAATTTGTGTGCGGAGCCACCGGGACACGCTGTCGACTGCGAGCCTTAAACTATTCTGAAGCATCAGGACGAAGGGGAGAGGAGCTGAGAGCCTCTGCAGAGTCAGCCACCGTCTCCTCCCAGAGCCTGTGTGTGTGTGTGTGTGTGTGTGTGTGTGTGTGTGTGTGTGTGACCAGCCTCATGTGAACCTTCTTCACACAACAACACACATAGACAAACACAGAGAGAGAGATAAAGACAGAGAAAGGAGAGATACACAGAGAGAGAGAGACAAAGATGAGAAAGAGGAGAGAATATTATTTAGAGAAGAGAGAGGGAGAGATTTAGAGAGAGATGCGGCAGAGGAGAGAGAGAGAGAGAGACAGTGATAGATAAATATGTATCCCCTTAGTTGAAATGCAGATGTACAGCAGAAACACATCCATCCAGACAAAATAAATAGAAACATCATTCTAAAAGTTACAGACACACAAAGTCCCAGCAGCAGGTGGTGGAGCCGCTGGTGATGATCTGCTTCATCTGGTTAATGTCTGCAGCGTCTTCTGGTTTAGACCATGTTCTCTGCTCTGGTTCAGAGTGAAATTCTGGTTGATTTATTAGCAATAAATAAAAAACAAGAATATCCTTTCTCCTGTGGATTTCCGTTTGATCTGCTTGGTTGGGAGCGTGCATCCTCTGCTCTGGTCTGGATCAGTATAAAACCATGAACACTGTACTCGAGTAACTGTTTCAGAGCGACTTAGGACTCGCTGCTGTTTCCAGCGCAGTCAAAAGTAAACGTGAAAATACAAATGGCACTTAGTTGTCGTATTTATTCCTTCATTTTTAGGCAGACCGGGGCAAACTGTGGCCCCGGGGACACAAACGGCCCATTTCACGTTTGTTCCCAGTCTTTGGACTCTTCCTCTTCCCTCTATTAATAGAATATGAAGCCACTTGTGCTGCTCTCAGTGTGGAGAGTGCAGCTGTGAATGGTCCCTCTCCTCTCCCCTTGTCTCCCCTCAGCTCCTCAGAGTCTGCACAAGGAACAATAATCACTCTTTTCTTTTGTTTTTTGTGCTCTTCAAATCATGAAACAAAATTAAAATAATTGCCGTGTAACAACAAGTCCCTGTGTTGTTGAGGGCAGAGTTTATGTTTGTAAGAGCAGCTCAAAACACAGATTTTTAGATTAGTTTATGATAAGTATTTATTTATTTTTCATTTATATTATGGTATAGTTCTGTTAGCATCCCCACTGTTTCCTCTGGAGCAGCCCTCTGCACTGGGAGCGGTGGTCAGCTGTGGGGATCTGGCTCTTGGACCTGGTGGGGGTCTTGTGTCGTCCACTGTTACTATCTGCACCCAGACCTATTTCTTTCATGGTCTGACCTATTTTATCCATTTGATATTACTGTGTGTGTGTTTGTGTGTGTTGCGTGGTAAAGCACTTTGAGTTGCATTTATTGTATGAAAAGCACTTCATAGATAAAAAGGGATTTGATTGATTGACGTGTGGCTCGAGGTGAAAAGTCAGTCAACAGCTGCAGCTTCACTTCATCGCTGAAATAAAATCCTTTCCTTCTCTTCAGACAGATCTGTAGTTTGTGAGCAGCAGACACAGCACAGAGGCTTCTCGTCCTCTGCTCTTGGGTCCGTCTCTCGTTCCCGCGTTCAGGTAAAACACGACTTTGTGAAGAAGACGTTTTACTGAAATGCTTTGTTCCGAGCTGGTCCTGAGTCGCTCTGTTCTGCTGCTCTGCTCCTCTGTGGGGCAGGTTTACATGTGTGAGCTGCTGCAGCACAAGTCTCATGACAGTTATTTTAGATAAAGGTGTTTCTAAATCCATGTAGAGGTTTTAATGCACACAGTGTAATTGGTGCCATTACTGTTTTTATTCTGTCATTAGGGGCTGTTGCTATGTGTACTGGGCTGGTGCTATGTGCTCTTACTGCCACCCCCCGACCCAGATATGGATTAAGGGGAAGAAAATGGATGGATATTCAGTCCTTACAATTACACACCACACATCCAGCTCTGACACTGGTGCTGTCCTCCTGCTCAGCTTCAGGTTTCATCGAGGACGCATTCCACCCATAAGAGAAACTCATGTGATGCTAATTCTGAATTCTGATTTAATATCGGCTTGAGAACCACAAAATTAAAGGTTTACACATATATCTAGTCCATTGCGCCCGTTCTGTTTTTAATCAAGGATGAACCCATGTTAACACTTAGTTCAGAAAAAGCCCAAATATGAATTGTATGTGGACCTTAAGTCAGGGTATAAGTTATTAATTATTTATCTTGTGCTGTGTGCTCCTCATTCCTACTCTTCTGTAACCTGTTATGCAACACTGACATTTCCCCGCTGAGGGACATACAGTATAAAGAATCCCTTGCCTCCTAAATAGTGGATCTCCAGACGACGGCCTCGGCTGCAGATACAGAACCTTTGATGGTGTGGCTGCTCTCTGGGGAAATGAGGCATTTTCTTGGGCAGCTATAGGAGCAGCTTCTGCAAAAGGACACAGCGTCTCGGTCCGTGTGGGTCCGTGGGGAATGAGCGCCGTCGACACCTTTCTGCGTTAAAGTCGCGCTCGCAGAAAAACTGTCTGCATTAGAATTCTGGAACATTTGCTTTATGAGGAGTCGAGTCAAGAATCGCTCACAGACTCAGCAGAGAATCAGACCTAAAGCGGTTCATTTAGAGCAGGTATCTCTCCGACCTTTTTCACCCAGAGAGCTACTTTCCCGGTGCGATAAAGGCAGAGAGCTACTGGGAAAAATGCGGTGATAAATTGATGTGAAGGAGCCTGATTATGGGTGTATTATTTAGCACCACATTTTTGTTACTAATGACATAATAAGTGTGTTTACAATTATTAAAAAATATAATGAATAATACAATCTGAAATATTTAGTATATTATTTGATTTTTTCATTTCTCAATCCTTTGGCGAGCTACCTGGAAGGGATCGGCGAGCTGCTGGTGGCTCCCAAGCTCCCGAGGTTGAAGACCCCTGATTTAGAGCCATCGATTCAAACTTATACAGAATAGGCATTTTATCTGTTCATATATAGTGTTAAGTTTATGACAATATTTTGCACGTCAGAAAATCGATGAAATCACAGTGTCCAGCTTTAATGAGAACAAATACATTTAACTTTCAACTTTTGTTACAATAGTTACATTAGATTATAGACTCAAATCAGTAGTGTCATGTATCCGGGCACAAGAATCACCAGGAAACTGTCGCTTTAGGTTGGGTGGGTTTGGTTTCCTTGTTTGAAGTGGGCCAATGGAAATGCTTGGCAGCTGTCGGAGGCGGTACTTCTCTGGCACTAACATTTATTTGAAAGAAATTTAGCTTTTTATGTTTATTCCACAAGATTTGGACTCTCCCCTCTCCCTAACATTTTAACCAAATACCTTTCTTCCCCTAGTTTTAACCATATCTTTTAAGATTTTTTGGTCATAAACAATCCCAAACTTGTAATAATTGTGTGGTCTTCCTTCTAACCTGGTGCTCCGAACCGAGTTTAACCGGCGTAACAGTCACATGCAGTCCCTGTGGATGGTCTGCTGGTCACTAACCTTCGGGCAAAAGTCACTTAAGGACCACCACTTACTGTAGCTGCATCTCTGCGTTCAATCCATAATCTTCAGGTTGCCAGGTTTGTCAGGAGCCCCCACTTTAAGCATTCACACACATCCATTACATTGGCTCTTATGGGTCATCTTGGCTACACATGTGTTTTGATATACTCTCTGAGGTTGTTGTCTATTGTGTGTTGGTTTCACCTTGTGTGTATTACATAAGTTAGCGCGATAAGCTCCCGAACAAATACCAATTAATCCTAACAAGCTGCAGTTCAAACAGGTCGCCCCATGCGCACATTGAAGCACACATGGGTTTCGGGCGATTTGCATTCTCCTGCGAGGATTCTTCAAGATAAAAAGTGAGGAAACTGGTGTATAGCAAAGGAAAAAAAAAGAACGCAGAGATTTGACCTGGAAGCAGTCTCCAGAGGGCTGTTGAGTAGCTGGATTCTAATCACACCGACTGGGGCTCCGAGCTGTGGGGTTCGCTCTTCTCCAGCCCCTCTGCCTAATTAGGGCCCATGTGTACCCATAAGACAAGCTGCCTCTCCCCGTGACGTGTGGCTGCTCACCTGTGTGTGTGTGTGTGTGTGTGTGTGTGTGTGTGTGTGTGTGTGTGTGTGCGCTAGCCCCAATAAAGCAGCAGGCCCACAGACGTGACAAGCTGGGGCCGGGGTGAGGTGGCGATGCGGCCCCCGAACCCCGAGGTTGCGGAGCTTTAATGAACAAGAAAGAGGAGAGTGGAACAAAGCAGAAGAAGAAGAAGAAGAGACGTCTGGACTGCTTAAACAATGTGGCCATTTATAGAAACCACGTGACTTGAGACACGTGTGGGAGACACTGGAATAGGCTACTGCTAATATTGGGGATATTGGTTTGGTTTGACAAAGGATAATGAAAGAGTTATTGTTTGTTGAGAAGGATATTTTCTACACTGAAATTCTATGTTTTTGAATGGAAAAAAGTTGCGGTAACACTTTAGATTAGCCCTTACTAATGAACAGCTAATGAAGTGCTAACTAGTGTGCCCTAACCTTAACCCTAACCAGACTGTACAATAAGCCACTTTAAGCCACTTGCACTAGGACTAAAAACCTGCACTACTATTTCCACTGTTTCTCTAATAACCACTTTTTTTTATTGTACATAACATATCCTGAAAAGACCATATTTTTTGCCTTTAAGATGTTTACACACACAATCTTGAGTGATTCTATCCATGCCAAATGTGACATGTACAGTACATTTCTCCTGTGTGAGATCAATAAAGTCTATCTTATCTTATCTTAATAATGACCAATTAATTAACCATGAATTATGCACTTATTAGCACTAATAGCCGTTAATTTGCGAGGGCTAGTGTGATCAAAGCAGTAGTAGATTTTTTTTTTGTGTGAATTGAAAATAACCGGCTGCAAAGACAGAATGTAATTTGCAGAGAGTATAATTTGACGTGAGAAATTGTCAAAACTAAGGCATGGACACTTTTGTTTAAAAATGTGTGATGTCACAGCAAAAACAAAACAATTATTGGATAGACATCTTATATTATTAAACTGAAAAGAAGTAAATCCTAGCCTGTCTTCGGCCGACCTTTAGCCCCGCCTCCATAAGATTGCCTAAATTGTATGGAGGCGGGGCTAAAGGTCGGCTTGAGCCAGGCCAAAAAAATCCACCAACTAATAACCATCTTCAACATGACGTAATGAAAATCTAGAGAACGTCAAATTTGAACTGAGAGGAAACATTTTTCATTGACCATGGAATAGCTTTGTCGAGTACTTTAGTAATCACATAAACAACCTGGGAATTATACGTCATTTAGACCTTAGTTTTTGAATATTTATGACAATACTCAAAAAATAGATACAAATAAGTGTAATGTCATCGATTGGACTAAAATCAACAAAAGAATGAAAAACAACAAATAGGTAAACGTTGGTGTCTAGGATTCAGAAGTGCATGTAGCAATTCTATTTTGGGCCTAAAAGGTTCGTTTTTGGGTCTTCTACAAACAGAAAAGTCAAGCCAGGACAACCCCCCCTTCAGCCAATCAGCTCTCAGCTCTGGGCTCAGCGGTCTCTTTGTCCTTCACAAAGTTCTGCGTTGACTTTGTCTGTGGAGAGAAACAAACTTTATCATAACAAAGGGACAAACCCGGCCCACTTTTGACTTTCCATATATGCTTTCAGAAACTTAAAGGAGACATCATATGAAAATCTGACTTCTATCACAAACTCCGCCCCTTCTGTCTAAAAGCTCCCGTCTCAGTCCTGTATCAGTGTGATGTCATTGCACCACTATGACATCACACTCAGAGCCTATAAAACAGAAGTATTGCGCATGAGTTAGTTGTGGCAGTTTGTTGCATTAAATTATATTCTTAGCAATCACGTGACTGTGCTTGTGCAGTTGGTTATTTTCAAATATGTGAAAACCCAAAAACAACTCCACTGAGGCCAGCGGGGAGAGCGGCACCGGTGAGGCGCGCATTGATAGCGCATTGGCGTGTGCGCGCCCGGGCTAGGCCCAAAGACCGGGATGAGCCGGCTCTCACCCGCGGGTGCCGGGTGGCGACCCGTGGTCGGCGAGCGGCTGGCGGGACTGCGGCCCGGTCCCGGGACTGAGAAGAGCAGAGGCCAGTGAGAAACGAGTGGACTGCGGGTTTTTTTTAATCATCTTTTATCAATCCTTTTTGTATATATTTTATTAAATATTTTATCCCCTTTTTATCTTCTTCCTGTTTTATTGATCACACCCCCTCAACAGACACTTTTAAACCTGTGACATAAACACATTTTTGTTTTTGAACGGCCAAAGGTTAAGCGTAAGAGCTTAGATATAACACGTTTGTCTGACACTATATTCATATTTTGTGGCCATATCTGCATGTGAAAGTCAGAGTTTGCAGACCTCTTAAGCTAAGCAGGGCAGGGCCTGGATAGTACTGTGATGGGAGGCCTCCAGGTGCCACTGTGGGGCGGCTGCGGCTGTAAAGTGCCAAAGTAAAACGTCTTTGAGTGTCCAAAAAAACCACCATATAAATTGGATTATTATTATTTTTAAACTGTCATCGTGTCCTCAGGCAAAACACTTCACCCACATTAGA